TACACAACTCTGCATTGCTCCGCCATCTTGTCAGCACTCTAGTTGTTTAATAGCTCTATGCTTGATACGGATCGAGCAAAGATGAACTGATGCCGCCATTTTAAAAGTTCTTTAACGCGGACGCAGAATGTGCACGCACGCCATGATAGGCCACGTGCGTTGTTACCTAGGTACACTTACGTTTAGTTCGTATGCTAGGATATCGGTGGTATAGGCCTACTTGATGGCAAACACACACTGGCGGCGAATTATGACCAGATAAAAATCCCAATATAGAATCATATATTATAAGGTACGTTTTCTAAGTAAAGTTGTGTAATAGATTGGTAAAAGATTATTGTCATCCAAACCCAGAACAGCACTAGGCCTAGTCGAGTCTTAAGTTATGTAAACCAGAAAAATCTATAGTGCCTTTCTGTGTACTCTCTCAACAAAACGATTTAAAATACTAAACTCAAACATTCTAATGAGTTTGGATTAGTTGGAAGTCCTCAGAATTGGTAGTGCTAGACTCTGGAGCTGATGAAGTGCGCAAATACTGTCAGGACTCATTTTTGGGGAATGGCTTGACTGTATTGACAATTGTTCGTGTTGATGTTCATTGTAAGGCAGAATGAATATTGGGTGCTCTACCTTTAACATTTAATTCAATAATATTACTGGGATGTGTGACGTTTTGCTTTATGTATGTGGTTACCAGATTCACCATGGATCCCGTCACTCAACCTGAACCCGAAGTGCATGATGGCGCTGATGTCATCCCATATCCAGGGAGTGAAACACGACCGTCTAGTGCTGAAGTTATACTACCTCCCGCTGCACTCTGCTTAATTATCTTACTCGGTATGAACATATGTATTTTATACGAATCTAAATAAATTGTAAATATAATCACCCTTAAGCCTCTACCAACAACTAAACTAAAGACAAAGTAGTAGTATTAGCAGCAGTAACCTTGGCAGCATCAACTCTCCATACTCACATCATGGTGGCACCAGCAGGCTCTGTTGGCACAGGTCCCCGTCGGAAAAACACTGCTTTGAAGGACATTTTTACAGTCTAAAGAGTGCCATTTCCAGGCATATAGAAGTGTCTTTTCTTAACATTTTCTCTCTGCCTTGTGGCCTTTTTCTCTCTCCCTCGTCGTGAACATTGCACCCTCGTAGTGGAATTTCTGGCGATGGCCCTATTCCCACTGTGTAGTAACGCTGGGGCCGGGAGGCATGTGGCTTTCTGAGACTGGAGGCCCTTTTTGGGTTCCGGTCGCCAATTCTATTGTGGAAATTTGGAAGTGCTCATTTTAAATCATGTTTGTCATTGAATTCTAAATGTTTTTAACGACGAAATAAATGATATGATAACAGTGGCGGATCCAGGAGTTTGAAATAGAGGGGCCCAGAAAGGGACTTTCACAAATGGAGAGTTTATACCACCTCAGCTCCACCATGGTTAGGGCTGAGGTAAGCCCTTCCTTCTTTAATCTACCACTGGATATACAGTACAATGATACTGTTTATGTCCTATAGGCGATGCCAGAGACACATCCTTGTATCAACAAAGCCCTTGGATAAGGCCTTCGGAGCCCCTAGCAGGGGTGGCGCCAGTGGGGGCGGGGGTCAGTACCCGTCCGGGAGAGGTCCCCACCACTGTCGGGGAAAAAAAACCCACAATTTGTGGGGGGGGGGGAGAAACAAATATTATATGTATAATTGTCTACATAATTGTAGACTATCTATAAAATCGATTAAATAATCCTTTGAAACTCCTAAATGTCATACTTTTCGTGGACTTCGCCCACTGGACCACTTTCGAAACAGTTAGATCGACGCCCGACCACGCTCACTTTGCTCTCGTCGGGGACATCGGCACCCCTCTCCCCGTGGAGAACCTTCAATCCTAGCACCACCCCTGAAACCTAAGGTCTGGGCCCCTGTGAGACCGCCGCACGAGAGCGCATGCGTTACGCCACAGGCTATGCCCAAGCTGCTTCTCCAAATTCTGTTCATGTTCATGCAATAATAAAAATAATAAGGAATTGATACTATACTGGTATTAAAGAATAATAATTATTTTGATTCAGGGTTACTTGTGTTGATGGTGCGTTCCGCACTAGCTCGTATATCAAGATCAAAAGAACGTGCTATCCAATGGCAATTCCTGTCTCGCCCCAGTGTCAAGGGACTTTCTCAACATCTTGGACTATCCAAAGCTAACAATGACGATCAATTCTTACAACAACAAAAATTCATCAGTCAGATAAGCCATCAATCATGTAGGTATTTGTAAATTTTCATCAGTATCAGCATCTGTAATGAATGAACAAGCAAGCAAGCAGACGAAAGAATGAATGAATGAATGAATGAACTTACGAACCAACGAATGAATGAATACCGTAAAACCTCGAATTGAAGCCCAATGGGCTTAATCTCGAGATGAAGCCCATTGGATGGATGAATTGGATGAAATAGGCTGGGATGGGTACCTGCCTCCCTTCCTTGAATCCGTTTATGTATTGATAGATTTACTGATTGATTAATAGATGGATTTATGTGTAAAGTAGATGGATAAATGAGGTTGGATGGATTGAAAGAAGAGGGGTGGATTAATGCAAATATAAGGCATAGAAATTCACAAAAAGATAATGTTCATATTTATACATTTTTTATTTCAAACATATTTATACAGCATTAAAACATATCAGGTGGTTGTTAAAGCCTGTTTTTCATATGGTCCTGTTCAAACTTATACTATGGTTAATTAACAAATACGTTCAATAAATACTAAATTCTAATAAAGCAGAAAAATGGATGGTAAAAGTACGCTGCCAATATTTTACATGCGCGCTAGATTTGTTGCAGAAGTAAAAAAATATTTATTTGATATGTATATTTAAAATTTTGGTTATTATTATTTTTATTATGTTTTATATTTATGTATAATTTTTATTCATGTTGTACGTCCGTCCATATTCAACAGATTGTAGTATCCTTGATTTAAATTCCTTGATATTATTTTATCTAGAAGGTGTTAAGCATTTGATTAGTTATTTTTGTTAACTAAACCTTACCACCTTTTGTCAATTATTATATAACTACAACTATTCTTGACAATAAAAACGTTGAATACTGTACACATCATTATAGAAATATAAATACCTAATATATCACACACAGTCAAGATATTTAAAGAAACACGTATCCGCAGTCATGAGCACTATAAAATTCCATATACATATTACAAGCCTACGTATGTACGCGAAAAATTTAAATGTGGGCCTCTCTTCTCTCTCTTTTTTTTTCATATCACAACGACTGTCCAGTCTTGACGTACGATGACGTAAAAGTAATTGACAGCATGCATGGGCATTCGAACCGCCCCCTACAGTTGATTATTATCGCTGGACCAGCTTTGCTTTCCCTGGGATTTTGTCCCATAGTTCTGTACATGTATACTCCGCTCGTCTCTTATTTTTGGCCAGCTGAAAAGTTTCCTGACGGTGTTCCGGATGTGAATGATGCCATCGGTAAACCATTTGATCAATTTATGAATTAATTTAATTTGTCATAGGCAACCAAATAAAACTAGATGTATTGATTTGATGTATTAATTTGTATCTTCCAAGCCTTCAACAGGTTTCGGGTGACTTTTAAAAAGGCTATGTTTTCGTGGTCATGTGCAAAATAACGAAAAGCAAATTTTAACTCAAATGGCAATAATGTATGTTTCGGATTTTACAGTTTATATTGTGTATTAAGTATTGTAAATCACTTATCAATTTGAAAAATAATTATTTTTCAGCATGTTTCTTGGCCCCAGCTGGTTTGGTTTATGCGTAAGTTTAATGCTCATTCTAATTACTAATCAAATTATAGCAATACATGATAATAATAATAGGCCTAATAATAATAATAATAAATATTAAATAATAATAGGCCTAACAATGATAATAATAATAAATATTATTTAATTGTTATTATTATTACTATTATTATTATTATTATAAATACTACCGTACTATTATTATAATAATTGTCATTCCATTGATATAGAAGTATTACGATACAAATAATAATACTGTAATATTAAAACTGTTGTGTTGTTTTAGTAAATGGACGGGTGTGCAGCGCTTATGCTAATATTGAACATCAAAATATAATTGAAAATGTTCGTTGTCGTTGATTACACAATAGGCTACATACTAAATAATATCATTCTCATTTAATTTTAGAACTTCGTTTGGATTTTCCTATCAGTCAGCGTTGCAAAAACAGCGGTCGTTGCTCAGTAATATCTCTCATGAATCAAGTTTGTTAGATAAGCTTATGTTAATGACCAATCAAATGTCGCTGATCTCAGACAAAATGAAAGGAATGGTAAGTTTTTAAAGTAACATGATGATACTGATCAATCAGCTGGTCTTAATTCACCTTGTAGTTGTAATGAAAGCCAAAACTAAAAGTGCATGTTAATAGTAGAATATTTTATAACGTCTTCCACAATAAAATCGTCTCAAGGCGTGACAGTATTCAGACCACGAATCATATTTAAGAACCGGACAAGAAATTAAAAAAAAAAAAAAAAAAAGTCATTCAGGTAATGAAGAAGTAAGACGGCAGCCAAAAGTGGCGTTGACGCGTCCGCCACTACTACTGTTTGATCAATAATAAATCAAGAATATCATTAATATACATTGTCTTCTTAGGAGATCGAAGAATTTAACCTGGTCTAATTTAAATAAATTTACATCTATATTGTCTTCTTAGATTTACAAGACAATAAAAGAAGAGGTTTTGTCGATTTTCTTGCAAATTCAACATCCAGAAATCATAAAGTGTACTAGTTTTGAGATCCCTCACTCCCCAGGTCAAGTGTGGAAGGTAAGCATTTCCATTTAAATTATTGAAAGAATTGATATCCGAATATTGAGATTATAGCACATACAGCAACCTATACGTTTGAGGTACAACCTCCACCCCCCCCCCCCCCCCAACCCCCCAAAAAAATACTACAATGTACTATAAACAGAATGCGGATGTTATCACTGGCGTGAATTACAGAAAACAAAAGAGGCTTAACAATTAGTCTGTAACTTATTGTACGAGCGTTCACTGACCTCTGGTACAGTACCTGGTGGCCCATGTCAGGATTACTGTAAAAACGTAGGGCAATATAAACTTCTCAAATAAATAAATATATTTTCCAGATAATAGATTTGGTGAAGCAGAGCATTGAGCAAGACAAATGGTGTGTAGATCGGCTGCTCTTAGTAAGTAATCAGCAAACTGTTAATTGACACAGATAACCGGTATTATTGCTATATTATGTCCATTGACCAATCCTCTATTTTTGTTATCAAATATTTATACGTTTCTCTTTATCTGTACCCTCTCTCTCTCCTCACTTTCCTTTTAACTAACTCTCTTATTCTCCCCCACTCCCTTCCTTTCTCACTTAATCAATTCTACTTAATTAACGATTATTTATTTTTAATTAATTTAAACTATCATTATAATTAGGCCTACCTATGATTATTTAAATGATCATCATTTAAAGCTGCTCCGTCCTTACATTGTTTTCATCTCTCCCCCAGCCACGGTACTCATCCTCCCTATCCCCCTCTCCAAACGCACAAAAACCTTTGATCTAATTAAATCATAATCATAATGTCATATTAAGACAATATATAATAAATATTTGAAATCTGAGAATGCAATTTCTGAGCATATAGTGTTGTTGCTGGTATATCATTGATTATTATCGCCTCAGCCCATTGTAGACTTTTTGCCATTCTCTCCTATTGTCGTTACAACAAAATTTGAACGTCAGCAATACTGTCGAATTAAGGACTTTGTTTGAAAACCATGATTTTTAGAGTGCTATTTTCAAGTTTAGCTCGAACCGTGGTAGCAGTGAGGTGGGTGTGGCCATTTTAGAACTTGGGCCCCTTGGCAAAATGTAATGCTCTCCTGATCAACAAGTGTAGCTACGGAGCTGAAGCTTGAAAAAAACTCGAAACGAAATGTGTAATTATTTGAGATGAATTTATGAACGGTTCACAGTACACTCTCCATCGACCCGGCACACCTCCATGGACCTTCCTTGTTATCAGGATTCTCAATGGTTAATACAGGATATTAATGGTTAAACCACTTCTTGTATGTTCATCAGTTTCCCTGATTTTCCCTTTAATGTTTTCCCTTCACTGTGGTAAAAGAATGTATTCATGTTTAAACCATTCCTTCATATATGGCCATAAATTACCTTTCAGTATTCTTCCTTTAATAATTTTCTGCAGTGGCGTATCTAGAGGGTGCTCTCTTATACACATCTAGATGTGTATAAGAGACAGGTACACATCATTATAGAAATATAAATACCTAATATATCACACACAGTCAAGATATTTAAAGAAACACGTATCCGCAGTCATGAGCACTATAAAATTCCATATACATATTACAAGCCTACGTATGTACGCGAAAAATTGCCCCCTTATCAGCACCCCATTTTAAGACTTCTAGATACGCAACTGCTTCACTGTGGTAAGGGACCCTGGTAATTCATTAAATCCATCAGCCCATCCTAGAGCTTTATTATGAAGTGCACATGTTAATAATAACATGTTAACTGTGGTGTACTGACAGGAGGAAATTCTAGACCACATTCTCAGTCTTAATACAGCAAGTTCTGAACGATATGAGGTGATGACGTCAAACATTAAACCATTCCAGTGGATATTTCTAGAGGCGTTAGGATTTTGTACATTTTTTGGTGTGATGCTTTTACAGGTAAGAATATGAATCTTGAAAGACACATTCATCCGTGGACGTTTTTCACCCCAATCAGGACGAAAGTCATAAAACTTCGGGGGTTTTCCTTTAAAATATTTCAATAAAAACAGGATGTATATAGGAAACTTGTTATAGTTTTGTAAGTAACAATATCCTGGCAGATAAGCCGGCAATGAACTTTGTATCCTTTGATATTGCATCCTTTAAGAATAATATTAATTTACGTCTTTTCTCTGCGTGCGTCACTACACAAGAAAGCAAATTTGATGATGCTCAATATTTAAAAAAAAAATTTAAAAAAAAATTATCCAAATTATTACCGTACGTATGAGATTTTAAAAATGATCTATTATAGGTAGGAAATGTAGACCTATCTAAGCCATGATTTGATTATAAAAGTCGTAATCTCCAAATTAATAGTCCAAAAATCACGTTAACGTTGCCAAAACTCGGCAGACCCAATATCTTAAAAAAATTAGGGTCTTTTTTGTTTGTTACATATTAATTATGTATACATCTTTTTACCGAAAATGAGCCAAAACACTTGGATGATAAAATACCTCTTTTAAGCTTTAATGACAGGGTATTTGACGAAAAACATGGGAACGGTTAATAAAATACAGATTTCTGAATATTAAAAAATAATGTGGGGAAAAAACGTCATTGTCTTTTCAAAATCAAATCATTTGTCCTCAGGAGCCCGGCTTTTAATAATAAACTTGATACCTAATTATCCTATAAATTAAAAGGCATTAGTGTGATGGTTGGCTCTGAATTCTTGAATTATGCCTATAGATCAATAGTAGACCATTAAAAAAAAAATCAGACCCATCCTGTTTTCCAAGTATCACTGTACAGTAGAGGCCTACTTCGGCAAAATAAAAATTGTTTGCATTACAGTCAATCAGTAAGTTTGTTTTTTTTCCTATATTGCCTGTTTTGCTTTTCTAGGCTCTTTCGTACCGAATGGAATTAGCGATGTGTATTATGACCGTATTCTCTATTTCTATCCTCTGTTTCGTCGTCTCTGACTTGGATTCTGCATTCAATGGATTTTTCAAGGTAGATACTCGGGAATAGGTACCATAATAATAATGATTATTGTAATAAATTTGGAGCCGTATTGTCAGTAGCATGAAATAGAAATGAAATAATTTAGAAGAATTAACTCAAGCTTGTGTTTTAATAATTTCCGTTAGTCTATAGAAGGCCCTACTGTACCTTTTACTGTACTGTACATTTTAATGATTATTATTGTGTAATTTATAACAAAATTTAACTAATTAATTTTAATATTCTTGGCTCATTTTACATAGCGCTGCGTGCGCGGAGCTTTTTCGAGTGATCTCCTTTTCAATAATTTACCTTCATTTACCGCTTTTATCATAGGCCTATCATTTAGTTGAGAGATACTGACCTAGGGAGTGATATCAATTTGAAGTAATAGGCCAAAAGACAATTGTCAATTATTGTCAATATTCTGTCAATTCAGTGCTTGCACTGCAAAAACGATAATGAATAATAAAACATGAATTGAACAAGGGATAGCCATTGAAAATGGGATTGCCGTCTCGCTTATAAACGCCCTGTATTAGGCCTATATTATGCGGTATTCAGGCACAGGGCAGAGGTATGTACTCTATGAACTGACTGCACTCTAGTTATGTTACTGTTTTTAATTATTTAAAAAAAACCCATTATTTACATGTTTCAGGTGAGTTTGGACTCATTGTTCGGTGTTATAGACAAGGCTGAGCGGATGTATATTCTGAACAAAGAGGGCGACAAAATGTATCGGTATGAGCAAGAGGACGACAGTGACAGCGATGCGAGCTACGAGGTGGTTATCAATTCTGCGGAAGTTATCGTTGAAAATTAATCAATAAATTAACCTAATAATCCAATGAACTCACCAAACTATCACAATATATATATATATATATATATATTCATAAAAATACAATTGATGAAATAGTGCATAACTTATTATTGAAAAACACAATGGGAAATTAAGGTTCCAGTATACGTATGCATTATTATTAGGCTTATTTGTTGTTGTACAGCCTTGACGTAAACAAAGGCATCTAAATAAATACTGTATACCAGTTCCAGGTTATGAAGAACATGTTATAATAAACAGAAGCGGCACTTTCAGAAAATCTATTAAAAGATGTCGACCTGCTGTCTCTCATGAAATCTGGTGGGAGAGGGAATAAGATTAAATTAGCAAATTTTTAAGATACAACTATAAACGAATTAGGGGCCAAGAAACATCGGGAATCACATTTTTATTAACTAAAACGCTTGGGTGATTGATGATGGTTGACAACAAGACCTAGAATTTGGCCTTGGCCATGTAAAAAAAATGCCGACCGACGCTGATTTTTAAAAGAAAAAATGCTTAGGCAGTACAGTACAACATACTAGTATTTGTTGGCCTCTAACAAAATCGTCGAACTGTAGGTGTGTCGAAGAACTGTGGTTGTATCGGGATAGCGCGTGCCCTCCCAGATTAGTGGCCCATCCTCATGATGGCAACAAAAAGCAAGTTAGCGCCACCTATGATTACGATAACTCAACAAAACTTTTTAGACTCTGCCGCCAGCTCAACCAACCAAGAGTAGGCCCCTATAATAGTAGCTAGGCCTAGGAGGCCTAGATAGTATAGGCCTAGTATAGTATTAAACGGAGATTATGATTTCATTTCACGACGTGTTTCAAATGTAATATTGCAGTAAATGGTCAACAACCGTAAGCTCTATATTGTTTCAAAATTCAATGTGAAAAATTATGAACTCGGCTTAGGCCCCTAGGCCTCAACAGCTTCGACTGACTGCACTGTTGCAGTTTCCAGTTCCTTATTTCAACCGTAGTTGCGCACTTCTTGGGCTAGGGATATGTGTCTGAAGTAGTAGTACTGTAGTAGGCCGGGCCTAGGGCCTAGTAGTAGACCTAGGCCTACTTTTATTGACGGTACTGATTAATTATATAATAATAACAATATAAGACTTAATTGTGAACAAATCTATTGATGATGATAATGATAAAGAAGAAAATATTCGTCAATTTGACGAAGTTCAAAGCAAGGACAAGGATATGCCTAGGCCTATTTATTATTAAGAAAGACAATTTTAAAAATCGAAAATCAAACAGTCACAGGACTAGGTCATAAGCCACTATCCAGCCAAGGAAAAGTCTAATCCAAGGAAAAATTTTTAGCCAATGTGTTTTTATATGTTAATGAGTCTTCCTTATTAAGGCCTAGGAAATAACAACTTCCTGCTCATAGCACTGATATAGCCTTTTCCATTTCTTTCTTGTTTTTTTTTTTATCTTTCAGATTTTCCTATGTTGCATTTTAAGGGGTGGGGGTCGGGTGTGAATGTAAACATGTCACTTGTCCAGACCACAAACAAAGTCCATTTACATCGAGGGTCTTAGTAGTGGCCTTGCTATATGACATAGACCTTGTATTATTTCTTACACTGTATATCAACATCTAATTACAAATCTGGTGTTGCCTATATAAATGCTTCAATTAATTCATTTTTACCTATGTATCTTTCTTAAGACATTGTTTAGTAAAATTTATTAAGTGGTTTACAACTCTTGCTCAACACAAAGTTTTCAAATTATATTTTGTATAAAAGTGGGAAAAAAATCTTGTAAAAACATGTTGTTTTAAAATTTTGAGTATTGTATTTTTGTGAAGCCGGGTGGTTGAGAACCTCATGCTCACGCAGTAGTGACTAGGTTCGCTTTTGAGTTCCTGTCCAACCAACCATTGTATGTTGCTGTCTTGTTTTGACAATAAAGAAAGAATTAGAATAAGAAGAATAATTGTAAGGCAAATTGGGCACTTGCAGTAGCAGCAAAAAAAAAAAAAAAAATCAATAGCTAGAATTGTGAAATCATTTTTTAGAAAAGAGATTAAAATAGCTTAAACTGTGAAGCTTCCTCTTGGTTCATGTTAAGTTCTCTCTCCCTTCCACGATTACCTCTTGCGCCACCTAGGCTAAAACAATTCTGTATAGACCACAGATGTTAAAATCACAAACCTGAAACAAAACAATCCATTAGAATACATGACATCCAAAAGAAATATTAATATTAAGCTAAGATTAAATTATGTTTTTGTTTTTGTATTCAACAAGTTAGTAGTTCAGTTGATGCAATTTAATAGCTGAATATTTTAGCTTATTTACTTTTTGTAATTTGTATTAGACTTAAACTGAGCCGTATCAGCTAAGCATAATATTTAAGATTAAATTATATTTTTGTGTTTGTGATGTTTTGTTTTAATTGACACTCTGTGCAATGTGATTTTTTGAAAAGACATGAAAATAATACGATACGACTTTTTATTTCCATCAAAATTCATTAAATATATATCATAATAATAAATGAGATAAGGATGGAGGAGATACAATGAAAAGCAAACAGCCTGTAAAATGTTGTATCACCTTTACATAAAATAGTTAGCAAATAGCAAATAGATAGCAAATTTAGAACATGAACAAAGACAAACACACACCCAGGACGGAAACATAGAAGCATGAAATCAAACAATTGCGAAAAAATGCATAAAAAGATATTTAGAAAGCAATGCAGGTAATGAATTTGTAATATATGCATATTAAAATAGACATTTGAGAATCCTTTTGAACTGCACTAACGTATGAGCACATTTGGCATTGATAGGCAGATCATTCCATACTTTTGGACCTGAAGACAACATCTTGATTCTATCTTGAATCCATAGTAAACAAATTACAACATAAAACTGTTGATTTCAAAATTATTTAAGAAATTATTCAACAAGTTAGTAGTTCAGTTGATGCGATTTAGTAGCCAAATATGTTAGCTTATTTGACTTTGTAATTTGTATTAAACTTGAACTGATTAATTCAGTTAGGTACAATACCCTTGGGCTCAAATTGCCAATAGCGTGTTCGAAACAAACCTGATTCTGTGACAATACATTAACAAAAATGACATTAAGAATTGAATAATTGCAATTACAGCCACTAATGGAGCCAACCATGTGGAAAATTTGTAGCTTTGTTTTCACCGATGTTGAGATGTTGGATGTACGATGAGATTTACAAAAAATTAAATTGAACTTGTAATAGGTTGTATCTTATTTTAGATTTTTTTTTTTTTTAATGTGTTTGAAGTCTGAGCTGAAAGCCAACAATTATTTTGTTCAATGTATTCATCATTGAGATGGCTTAGGGTCATCCACAATTTTGCTTTAACAATTCATCAATAATTGATTGTATTGCATACTGTAATCATTGAATAAAAATAAAATGTTGTTTTCTTATTTAGCAAATGGTTTTGGCAAAAACCTCCAGATGGAGAAGAAAATAAAAATAATTTTATTGTTGAATGTAAACAGTGTAGTAATGGGATGGTTGAATGCTTTAAATTTATATAATTAGGAAGAAATATACATTATTTTTTTAGATTTCAAGGCAGCGGCAGGCGTGCGTTATTAAAAACAAATTATATTATTAATTAATAAAATATTTATATATACAAATGTCATAGGAATTAAATTATTACTTATTAATTACTTATTTAAATATATAATGTACAATAATTAGAGATTGCAAATAATTTATTCATTCATGTTATTATATATACATTTCATTATAATAAAAAAAATATACTGTATGTAGAATAGGCCTAACAATTACTTGGTGGTTCAACTTAAAATTTTAGCTGCTCTTGTCGTTCAGCATTTGATTTTCAGTGTTGAGCTGGATAAACGGTTGGTTCTGCCTGAGGTACCATACAGTATTTCTTATAGTTTCCTAGATTCCTCAATGGTTTTGATTTTCTGTTTTCATTGATTTTTGGGTGTTTTACTACTAAAATCTGTAAACTGATTAGCCAATTTTAGAATCTACAGTAATCACATTAATTTGTTATTCAAATCCATATTTCTTAAATGACAGCTGTTAGAACAATATTTCAAGTTTGAACTAAGATTAATTTTAATAAACTTTCTTTTCTAAGTATAAACTTCAGCCTTAAAAATGACATGGAATTAAAGAAGAACAGGGACTACAGATACAATACAAATAAAGTATTCTTCAAGAAAAATAAGTGATTAAAAGCAAATAGACAATCGCAGAAACAAATATAATGAAAATGATATATAAAAAAAATAATTTTTATTGGTTAAAAAACATTGTTTTGTTAATTGTTTATCATGAAAGAACTAATTAGTATGACTTGCTATCACTAAGGTTTAAAAGTAGGGCAGACCAATGCCGAGGCCTTGCCTGTATTAACCCTTGAATAGTCTCTGGTTGCATTGTTCTTAATTAAGTTTCTAGTAAGTTCTTTACTTTAAAAAATGATGCTATTTAGTTTTAATGCAATAGGTATTTTGTTACTCAACTATTTGAATTTAATATTGATATTTCCAACAAGAAACAATTTCTGATTGTTGTTTTTGATGGTCAATATTGTTCCTATTTTGATGGTTCTTCTACGTGACTTGATATTGATTTGTCCACATGGTTTGTCTGGTCAGTGATTAGTTTGATCACATTGGCAGTGACTTTGTCAATAGTAAGTCGATTCCAGTAAGTGACCCATCATTTTTAAGGTTACAGTATAATGGGGAAAATATTAAAAACTCAATTTTTACAGTGTTACAGTGGCAATTCCCAGTATTCAAAATAAAGGGGGCCCCCAGGGGGAGGATGGGAGGTCTAGACACCTCAGCTCTACTATGGCTGGGGCTGAGGTAAGGAAATTTATGATTATGGCACCTCTAGCTGACCACAAATGGCACTCTCAGACTTGAATTTGAGTATAATTTATTTTAACTCCATTTTAAAAAATTATTCTGAAATAGTTAGGGGGTGTGGGGGGGGGGCGCCTAGCTGGGCATCCTTGATTCTGCCACTGAGTTAGTATTATTGTGGTTTTCATATTACTTATATCAAAACGGTTGCCCACATTGCACTCAGATGAAGTTGATCGCACAACTCATAAGAGTGCTGCTGCATAACCTTGCATTCTTATCTCCTATTCTTCATTAATGGTCTTAGGTAAATCATTAAATTTTGATTACTCCATTAGAGTCTGATAAGGAACTTGGGAGTTGAGTAGTCAAGTTGTACTGTTAGATCAGCCATGACAAGTCATTGCCAACTGCAATCCAGACAGTCATGTAATGAGGCCTCTGTCCCTGTTAAAATAGGAGAATCGTAGTTGTTTTTATATTTTGTTAGTAAATGACATCCCGATAGGGCTTAATTTGACTGATTCTTATCCCACCGATCGGCATTGTTTTTCAATGCTTTGGGGTTGTCGTGACGCTGCCAAGACGTGCAATATAGACAGGTATGTGTACACATGATATAAGCAAGTCGTACAGACAGTATTTTACGCCAACGGTCATTTCAAGATAGAATTCTAACATTAAGTTTGTTTATAACATTTTGATCTCATTTTGGTCTGTAAATTTAAAATCAACTGTCTGAAATGTTTTGGCTTTTACCATTTGTACTACTTGTAGTGAAATCTACAAATTCATTACAGTGCCGCCACCAAAGAGGTTATGTATTCACCATTGTTTGTTTATTTGTTATCAGGATTTTGTGCAAAAACTAATGAATTGATCATTATATTATTATAAAATTTAGTGGAGTTGTACATATTGATCAAAGGAAGAGATGGTTAAATGTTAGGGATGAAAAGATCAAAGGTCAGTGTCATGGTCATGGAAATTCAAATAGTTCATTAGTATTAAATGATTAAGAAAAAATAATGATTTGATCATCATCAAATTTATAATGTGTACAATGTTCTAATAAACAGTTGATCAATTTTTGGACTGAAAAAAAATATATATGGTCAAGTCACTTTAAGTGAATTTTGTTATTTTCTTTTTTATTTTCTTTATTATTTGGCATTCAGGGACAGGGTGTGGTATGTAGTCTATAGATCCATGGTGGGTGGGGCTGAGGTGGTATAAATCTTCCATCTATAAAATTTTATCACCGGGCTTCCTTACTTTTGAATTCAGCGCTTCTGTATTCGCGACTAAATATCATATGGTCTACTACTTTGCAAGCACAGACAATAATAGTATATTAAATAATATATAATAGAGCCTATAAAATGATTCTTATACATATTGTTTAATTTAATGCAATGACAATATTGACAATAACAATTTCTTTTATTTTCTTTGAATATAAATCAATGAATTATACAAAAATCATAAATAATAATGTTTTTCATATAAAAGGGAAAATTCCAGAAGATGATTTTTTTTCTCTTTTGTGGTGGAGCCACCACATTTATTAATCAAAATAAGATACATCAACAAATATAAATATTGTATCGATCTGTAAAGCATTAAGAGCAATAAAAAAACATTTTTTTAGATTGAATGGTAACAGATAATAATAAGTTAATCGTCATTTTACAATCAACATAAATTCACAGAACATTTTTTTACACAAGACTTTGTACTTTTATTTATATAATTTTTGGGGGTTTTTTTTACTCTTAAATATGACAAACAAAAATTTTTTAAAAAATTATCATTCTTCATTGTTTTTTTTTATGCAAAATTTTAAACAAATTAATAACACAAACATACAAATGGAAGAATTAGCATTTCCAATCATCACATATTATTACTAACTGCTAATGTATTTTTTGTTACTTTGTTTTTTGGGGTTTTTTTTCCATTGAACATTTATTATGAATTAAATCATTAGAAAAAAGCATTCAATTTCAATTATGTAAAAAATAGAAGAAAATAAAGAAAAAAAAATCAAGAATGCTACTTTCCAAAGATTGTCAAAATTATGCAGATTATTAGTTGTTTCATCTGTCAGCATCCAGACAATATCTATAATATGATAGGCATAAAAAAAAACATATTGTGCATTTATTGTTATTGCTTAATTTTGTTAATCTGATCTCATCAAATTATTGTCAATTCCACCTTTGATCACCTTTGTTTCCTGAATCCAGTCGCTGTTGTAGGTGTTTGCGAGCGGTAGCAACTGACCTGTTTTCCCAGCAACCTATGCTGCTTGTCCTTTCGTCATTGGCCTCCTTCCATTCTAAGTGTCCTGCTTTTCTTTCCCATCGGTCAATGACATGATGTGGACCTCTGTGTAAGATTAGTTTCTCTACTGTTGGTGTCTTTCACCAGTTAAACCATTCCTAGATATATTGTTATTCCTATTATAAATACATTGATGGTTCTGGTCAATTCGTTTCCTACAATGTCTCTTTAATATTTTCTTTTACAGTAGGCCTACTTGTTTTTTTATTTTTTGATATAGGCAATAATTGTAAAATTTGAATGAAATTAATTTGTCCATCTTCACCTAAAAATAAACCATTGTATAAAAATGGTATAATAGAAAAGAATAATATTGATAATTAAAATAATAACAGTAGCTATAATAATAATAATAATAATAGAACAAAAACAACAACAATAGTAATATATTATTAATGCTTCAATACACTTTACAACATATAACAGATTGAAATCAATCACTGGAGTTATGAAAATAGATAAATAGTGTTAATTACTTGCAGCAAAATTGATGTGGCCACCATTATCATCATCATCATCATTATCATTGTTATTGCTAAATTTGCACAACATATTTATGTATGAATATATTTAAATAAGAAAGTATGTAAATGATAGAAACAGTGCTCAGATAATTATAGGAACATATAAAATATGTATAGTTTATATGTAATTAAGTTAACTAGTCATTATAGATATTTTATCATACAATTTATTTAGAAGTAAAACTGACCATTTAGATTAAAAAATAAGTTTGAAGCATTAATTTTTCTTTAAATTATTTGTCAAAATAGCATATATAAGAATGTTTGTTGTGTGAAGACAGAGTGTCTTATATTTTTTCTCAACTTAAAAGCAACTTGTATCAGAAAAAAATATGCTAAAGTTTGTGGATAGAAGCTGTTTGATTTACGGATGTTTTTGCAATCAGAAGAGATTGGTGGAACGAGTATGGTGTTTCAACTATCTTGTAAGTGACACACTTTAAGATGAAAAGTCATTTGTTGCGAATTAGCTTTTAGTTTCCCAACTTGGATATGAAGCAGAAAAAGAACGACTTAATTTCAAGAATAATTTCGTTTTTGATTACTTAGTGCTATGATGTTTAATCGAAGTTGCATTTAACATTATTCTGCCTATGTTTGACATGATTTTGCTATCATTCTATCTATTTTCTTATCCATCATTTTAAAATTGAGTTGGAATTAAGGCTGTTTCATTTTTGAAAGACTTTTACAAAACGTGAACAAATTTCAAAGTAAAATAAT